GTCAATCTGGACGACTGTGGGAAAAGCACCCGAGGCCAGACAGCCTCGACAACTGCTATTTAAGGCCTACCTCGAGTGAGTCAAGTATTCAGTCTTGCCGTGCTGCTTTGACGCTGGCTCGACTTTGACGAGATGCTGGCATTATGCTGGCGCGACGCTGGCTAGGAAGCTGGCTGTGCATAGGCGTTGCAGACGATGGCACGAGGTGGAGGCAGCAGGCTGGCGCTTCTCTGTGCGCCAGGCATGCTGATGTGGTGCTACCTCTGGTCTACATTGCATGCTGATGTGGCGCTACCTCTGGTCTACATTGCATGCTGATGTGGTGCTACCTCTGGTCTACATTGCATGCTGATGTGGCCCTACCTCTGGTCTACATTGCATGCTGATGTGGCGCTACTTCTGGTTTACATTGCATGCTGATGTGGCGCTGCCTCTGGTTTACAGTGCATGCTGATGTGGCGCTACCACTAGTCTACATTGCTGATGTGGCGCTGCCACTAGTCTTCATTGTTGATGTGGCATATGCCACCTGTCTCGACTGCTGAGGTGGCATTGTCCACACTGTCTACATGAGGTGACTGGTTGCAAGGAGGAGGAAGATCGGGATCTGTGGATGAAGGAGATCGGGTACGCACCTGAGGTTGACGTCGTCACTGGAATCTGCTATGTCTTCATGGTCTTCACGAGATAAAGTGCCACGTGGCACCATTGTGTGTGAACAGGAATATACTTACTATCATTGTTGACATGGAGAGGGAAGAAGCCCGGAGAAGGAGAGGGGTCCGAAGGGATTATTATTGCGTGATCTTTCATCTTCTCCTCTGTCTGTTCCCCCTCCACTCTCTTCTTTTAATGGTAATGAGATACTGTTTGAGCTATCACTTCACGATTTGGAGACTTTGTTGCAGATAATGAGACTACTGATGTTTGACAACTTCTGAGTATCTACCAGACCGGGTTCATTATACTTTGTTTTTTTTTTTTTGTTTTTTTTTTTGGGCGTTCGGGCTCGGATGGACTGTGTCCCGGGAGGACGTCCGACCGGACAACCCCGGACGGTCAGGGGGCGGGGGTCCGATGTCCGGCCCGGTAACATAGACATGCTCCTCTCTCCCTTGTGTTTGACACCTCTTCCTTCACTCTGCCTCTTTCCCATAGCGTGCAAGTGGGCTGTTATGGCATACGGGGATGGGGGCAGCTCGCGCTCAACTTCATCAACGTGGCGAGCCTTGTACGTTAGAGGCACAGTGGAGGAGKCGTTAAGAAGACTGAGAAACTGAATGATTTCAATGTGTCTTTGTTTTTTATTTTTATCCTTYGATTCAGTGTAAATATTTTTTGTAAAACACTGAAAGAAATAATAATACTGTGAAACAAAGTGTCATTCTGGTTTGTTTGTCTCTTTGCCTGTCTGTCCTTTCATTTTTCTTTTCTTTGCTCTTCTTATTTCTTCTTCTACTCCACGTGCTCATGCTCTTAGTCAATAGTTCTGTGACAATATATATATATATATATACTATTTGACGATATATATATATATACTATTTGACGATATATACAGGGTAACCGGCGTTCGGGACGGGCCGAACGCCCGAACGTATGGGACCCCTTGGGGATGCGTTCGGCCGTTCGGGCCGAACGCGGACCCAAAAAAAAA